CCTTCCTTCCGAGGAGTGGCTGGTGGGTTTGAACCGCCAGCCGTCTGGTTAGCAGGCAAGTGTCTTAGCCACTATGCTACCAGAGCTCCCAATGTGTGGTATAGTAGTACAAAATTCCCTCTAAGTACTTCAGCTTTTTGTCCAAGCTGTTCCTCAGTAGGCTATTTACCCTTGAGTTCTATACTACTTGAAGATTTGCTAGTTCAACTTTTGCATGCTTGCCTCAATTTCCCGTATGTGTAATTTATATTTCTCATTAATCCAACCACAGGTGCTATCCTTTACTAATGAGAATATATTGTCTCCAACCTTAAGGATAGCCCCATTATTTCAAGATTTTTTTCCTTTTTACATTAATTTTATGTTTTGAGACAGTATATGATTTGATTTGGTATATCTGAACCTATGTATTTATCACAAGGGATGTGCGGTGCTATGGACTGTCCAGCGTACTGGAAAGTTACAGGAAGATAAATTATTGTCAGAAATGTCTGAACACTGACTCTGCTTTCTGTCATCAGAGGAAATGTGGCTTTGATAACACTTGAGTTTGGTTCAAGAAACTGGAGAACCTTATATTTATATACATTTCCTATAAAGGAATGCATAAATGGTTAGTGTAAATTCTTCCATAATAATGATGTAAGCCTGAGCTGTCTAAATTTCACGGAACCCCTTGAATCTTTTATAGACAGTGTCACTGGCAGCTATGTGGCCCTGTTAGGGACTCTGGCAGGTAAGGAAAACCATAATAAGAAATGTAGCATCTGTTTCTCCCTAAATGGCCATGCTACTTCCAACAAGCTTCTGTAGCCTTGACTAAAATCTCAAAGTATATTGTGGGTATGTGCCAACCTATAAGCCATCTGAAAAGCTGTAGGATGTTTGAACAGAATTCTATCATATTTGCTTACTTTACATTTTGGAATAGGCAGAAAATACTAGTTAAAATACTAGTTAAACAACAGTAGACAAAGTTAAATCATTTATGACATATATAAGCACAAATTACAAATATGCTTTTTGATCTTTCTAGTTCATTTGTCTACTGTTGTTCACTCTTAGCCTTAAAAATAAACATCAAACACGTACCCATTTTGGGAAGAAGTTCTTTATCAGCTCCCTTGAAAAAGCACACATAGATCACTAATCCTCTCTGAATCTATGAGAAATCACAACAGTGAACTGGATTAGAAAGGTACTTCTACAAATAGAGAGCTGAATGAATAAATTTTACAACTGTTATAGGCATACAGGTTAAAAACAAAGGAAGATAAGTAAGTCATACAGTAGATTACATGTGAGAGAAAAAAACTTTTTTAGGTTTCAATCACTTATTATTTCTTTTAAAAATTAAGTTTAAAATACAGCGAACAGCAATGAAGACCAAAAGTTATGTCTTCATTTTACTTATAATCAAAATAATTAGGACCATCAACCAGTCTTCTCTCCCCATGTAAGGCTAAAAGTCTTAGAAATAACTAGGTTATAGGACCCCATTTATTCAAAACAAAGTGAAATCACATTACAACAGATAAGGCTGATGTGATAAGCAATAGTGGCACTAATATATCTTTCACACCATCATTCTTCATTTCCCCAAATACATTTACTCACAGAAAATGAAAATAAAGTTCTGATTCTATTTCAATAAACTCTAGAAACTGTCCATTTTATTATTATTATTATTATTATTGTTAATGCTTTAAATAAAACATAGTCATTAGGGTTTGGAAATTCCAATTATGATATAAAGTTTTACCCCAAGTTTTATCGTTTGTTATCAGGGAATGTGGCCTATATTTAAGCCTATTTATTTTATGTAATGACTTGGATATTTCTTTATTTGCTTCACTAGGACAGAGATTATTTCACTTAATTAGTGCAGTGCTTATAATTGTAGGAAGAAACACTTGGTAAGTGATTTTGTTTCTGATCATTAGATTTTTGATTCTGCACAGTAATCTTGTTAACTTGAAGAGCTATTATGAAGATTAAATGAGTTAATATTTGTAAACTAGTTAAAACAGTACCTGGTTCATAGTAAGTCCTATATGCCTATTAAATGAGTATGTGAAATTAAACTTAAGGGGGTAAGCATGATTTATTTCACATTTTTACTCCAAATCACTTTGTAGACTATTCTGTATATGAAAGGGACTCAAACTGTCTATTGCTTATTGAATGCTATTCACATTAACATTTAACTGTATGTCCTAAGCTGTGTGTGTTATATAAATGGTTTTATATGTAAATGTAGCTCTGCACTGTTATCTGATCTATCTGGAAAAGAAGTCATTTCAAATTGTACAAAAGTACAATTGTGCTTCTGGAACAATAAGCAAGGATCTCAAATGCATACTCATAAAGAGATGTTGAACCTGAACCTGTGTTATCATAAGGGATGTGCGGTGCTATGGACTGTCCAACCTTCACAATCTACTTCCATAGTGGTACCGCCTTGGAAACCCATGGAGGGATCAATATGAGTGGGATCCAACATGGCAGCAATGTTTGGGTTTTTTGTTTTGTTTTGTTTTTTAAAGCAGTCCATGGTACTTTCAGTATTCTTTGCGAACACCACAACTCAAAAGCGTCAACTCTAAGGTCTTCCTTACTCATTATCCAGGTCTCACATGCATATGAGGCGACTGAAAATACCATGGCTTGGGTTAGGCACACCTTAATCTTCAAAGAGACATCTTTGGTCTTCAGCACTTGAAAAGACTGCTAAAAGTACTAACAAATCTGTCCTGGAAGAAGTGCAGCCAGAATGCTCCTTGGAAGTGAGAATGGCCAGACTTCATCTTATCTACTGTGGTCATGTTGTCAGAAGGGGACATTCTCTAGAGAAGGGTATCATGCTTGGTAAAGTGGAGGGTCAATGAAAAAGAGGAAGGCCCTCAACAAGATGGACTGACACAGTGACTGCAACAATCAGCTCAGGTATAGCAAGGATTGTGAGGCTGGCACAGGACCTGGCAGTGATTCGTTCTGCTGCACATAAGGTCACTATGAGTCGTAGACAACTCGACGGCACCTGACAACAACAACAACAACAACAAAGGGGATTGGATAGCTTGTTAGTAATGTAAATAAGGTACATGGCACCCTTGTTGGGGATGGAGCCATGCAAATAAGATGTATGGAACCCTAATGTGGGGCTTGGTCAGTTTTGCCATCTCCTTAGGCTTAAAATGAGCCCTCCTAGAGGCAGAAGAGGGGATCGCACTGCCACTTCAAGAGAGAAGAGCCAGATGTGGAATGGAGCACATCCTTGGACCTGAGATACCTGTGCTAGACCTCCTTGGGAGAACTGGCCAGCAGAGATGGGTGGCTGAGGAACCAAGAGTCACAAGGCAGAGTGGTGGGCTTGGTGGCCCATGGAGCGAGAAAGCTGAGTGCCTTTGGGCAGGAGGCTTGCTGGCAGAGGGGGGCTACATTTTTAGAGTGGCCTTTCTTCCTATGTTAGTCTGAAAGCTCCTCTGAAACTTGTTTGGTCCGTCATAGCAACATGCAAGCTTTGTAGTTGGTAGGATGTACTTGCGTAAGGTGCACTGACAGGGGACTGAACTCAGGTGAGGCAACTACAAAAATAGGTAATTCTTTAGACAGGACAACAAATATAAAAGGACTAAGATTTCAAAATATAGAGAGAAATCAAGATATCACAAGAGGTCATAACAAAAAGGATAAGAAAAATAAATTTCTGAGAAAGAGAAGAGGGAATGATAGAGAAATGTTTATGCTTAGATAGTTCCAATTTACCACAGGGTAACATACTCTGATTTAAGAATGATCACCTACATACCATAGTTTAACATAGTTCATAGGAGGGCGTGGAACTAGGAATATTGCTGCTGATGCCAGATGGATCTTGGCTGAAAGCAAAGAATACCACAAAGATGTTTACCTGTGTTTTAATGAGTATGCAAAGGCATTTGACTGTGTGGATCATAAAAAATTATGGATAACATTGCAAAGAATGGAAATTCCAGAACATTTCATTGTGCCCATGAAGAACCTGTACACAGATCAAGAGACAGTCATTTACACAAGGGGATACCAAAATGGTTTAAAATCAGGAAAGATGCACGTCAGGGTTGTATTCTGTCACCAGAGTTTACTCAATCTGAATCTTGAGCAAATAATCCAAAAAGCTGGACTATATAAAGAAGAACGCAGCATCAGGATTGGAGG